ACTTTGAAAAAAAGTTAAAGTTAAAGGGCCTACCCGCGTCGAGTGCACGCATGGCGTGGCTCCCATCTCTGTTTTCAATAGCCCTGGGCCACACATCACTAGGGGGCTAGTCCAGTGTGATTTGTGGTGTGTGTTCAACTTCCATACCCTTTCCAAATATTGAGTGCTAAGCAGAGAAAGCAGTATGTGCCATTTTTAAAGTCTATAAGTATATAATATGCATCATCACCATTATTATATGCATCATCACCATTATATGCATCATCATCATCAAAATATGCATAATCATCATCACATGTATCATCATCCTTAGCACATCCTAACCCGCTTACACCTTATTCTATTCAGTCACAGATACCGCGTACAAATCCCTGGATGTTTCCATAATGAATTGATAGTATCTGGGCATGTAACCTACCCGTAATATAATGTATTGTATGTTATGCTGGATTATAGTCCCCTAAAAGTACAATAGTTGTTGCGTTGATGATAGAACGTTTTAACATTGTCATTAGACGTGAAAAACCTCGGTAACCATCTGTACCATCCTCTCCCCAAAATAGGTTGCCCAAATTGGTACACTTACCACCAGCATAGCCGGTCCTGCTATAAGGCCTTCAACCAGGAGAGTGACTACAACAATGCTAAGGCAACCTGTTCTTCTGACGGCGGAACCCTCGCCATGCCCCGCGATGCCGTCACCAACACCTTCCTCATCAACCTGAAGAATGCCGTCGATAACAGCGCTTTCTTCCGGTTCGGACTGACCGACATCCAACAGGAAGGACGTTGGGTGTGGGAGGATGGCGCTACTCTGGGCCAGTATAGCCCGTGGGGTCCAGGAGAACCCAACAACGACGACAATGAGGACTGTGCGGAGTATTGGCCCGGAAATATAGAAGACAATATCAGGAACACGTGGAACGATGGACCGTGTTCCTACTCCTCCTACAGGAAGTTTATATGTCAAGTCAACTGAACTAGTTGGTCTTCAAACGGTGTCGTCAAATGTTTATATTTTCCTCGCTCGTTGAAGAGATTCCTTTATCACGTATAGTTACAGTTACTAACTTAGTAGGGACAAGTTTCTCAGGAAGGGTAAGACCTCCATGCAAGTTTTCGATGACTATCAACTATCAGTCCATCTTGTTCACGGAGTGGCCTAGTCTCGCGTGCCAAGTTCAACCGGACCGAAGGTTGGGAGCGCCCCAAGACATACTTACACCTAATCCGGAAGGAGACAAGGGGGGGGGGGCAAGCAGACCGATGCAAGTCTCGCGCCTAATCTCGTGCTCTCGCGAGACTAGGCCACCCCGTGAGCAAGATGGACTGATAACGAAAATTTATAGGTTAGAACTCTTAGTACTCTCATGAAAGAATTCTCCAGTAACTTAATAATATATTTTCCTTTTTTCAAAGCCATGCTTCAAGTTCGTTAGAAGATTGCTTTTGTGAATATTGTACATAGCTTCTTGTCAACGCATGTTTGATAAGGAGTGCTTAAAGAGTTCGTGCAGTAAACTCCAACTCAGCTGAACACTAAACCTCTTTTGTAAGAGGTAGTTGTTTTGGTGGTTATAAGCAGTGTATGTTTTTGTTGTTGTCATGGTTTTTTCCTGTGTATTTTTCCTTAAAGAATAAATATTGAGAGTAATCACCACTCAGGTGCGTGCCTCAGCAATCCAGCCTCTGTGCCGGGATTGTTTACTCAGTAAAGGTTAACTTCAAACCCACGTCATTACTCGTCATGGAGGTTTATTCTCTATTCACCTGAAATACAGGGATCAAAGATAGCACGAAAGCCGCGGGCGGGGCTTAGGTTTACGGAAAGAGCGCTGGCGTCTTCGGCTGTGACACGGAAGTAACAAAAGTGTGAAGTGCCTTTCTTAAGGGCACGAGATCGGTGACATGTCAAGCCTCGAACCCGGGACCTCTTGGTTCCGAGTCGAGCACTCTGCCGCTACGCCACACGTCCCCACTTTAACTCTGTTTGAATACCATCGACACGGCCGGTGCACTGACACAATAGTTCGACTGTCTCGTCATTCCGATGGACTCGGAAGCTCATGCTTCCTTCATTGTTTTCTCTGTGGCTCCTGGCGCCACCAAGTACCTGGCACCTGGCGTAAACAATGACAATGATCGATTCTTCACAAGGAAGACGTGAAGCAGAATCAGTTACAGAATAGCCTGGAAGCCACTGTTGCAAGGGCTACAGCCAGACTCTCAGACTCCGAGAGCTTTAATTATGTGCTATTTTCTGATTGCATATAGACAACATAGCCGGCCTGGTTGTTGTCTATATGCCTGGTTAAATAAGAAAACAGCCGAAGACCACCAAACCCCCAGTTCTATAAGCCTGTTACGGAGGCTAATTAGAAAACAGCCGAAGACCAC